CCTCACATGGCTGAAACCTTGAAATACGCTTTGGAGGCTGACCTTCAAGACCTCAATCATCCTAAATCCTGTAAATCCTCTGTCGGATGATGACTCTCACAAGCTGAGGCGCTGGCTCGGTCAATCCTTGCAGTTGAGTTTCAAGATGAGGCTCGCTCTGCTCGTGAAGCATAAACCGCAAAGACTGTCCCAAACTCGAATATGATAGAAGCTTTGTTGACGCATCATCCCTAAATCGAGCTGCAGATCCAGCAGAATGGTTCACCCCTTCGTGATCAGTGATGGCGCAGAAAGCCAGTCTGCACAGCAGCTCGGAGGACAGAAAGGATCTTTGTAAGCCAGCATGTCCACTGTCTGAAGCACTGCAATCGCCTCTCTCCAAAGCGCGCATAAACCAGTAAAACACCTCGAAGGGAAGTTTTTCATCCTGCCATCGTGACTCCTCCGCAGGATCTTCCTCGCTCGGGTCCTCTGATCGCTTTCGCGATCGAGGCACCGAAACAAAGAGGTGCTTTGCCATACGCTCCACGGTCTCTTTCCGATGCACGCCGAAAAGGGCCAAAAGCGAGCTCAGGTTTTTCAGGGACATCTGAGCTGGGACCACTGTGCTCAGGATTTGAGCTCGAGTCTTGGCGACCTCCTCATAGCTTGGCTTGGCTCGTTCACTGGCCTTTTCTTTGGACTTCCGCACAATGCTCGAGTTCAGCATTGCCAGACTGCTACTCTGCAGCATGACTTGTGTGGCATTAATTTCGCCCAAGCTCACAGTTGGCTGCTCTTGCTCCCCATCCTCATCAGAACTTGTTGCACTACTGGACGCTTCTTTAACCTCTTCTGTAAAAACATCCCAAAACCCAGACATCTTCTGGTTGATTTTTGACAAGTAGCGCTTCGTGACGTCCTGCGACTCCCCATGCGTTGGCCGTTTAATGGGTCGCTTGCGCACGGGGACTGGTATGTCTCTGTGGCCTTCCTTCTTGGTCTGTTTCTTTTGCATATCCAAAACAAACGAAAAGCTCTCCATCCAGGCGGCGAAGGAGTCTGCAGTGAATGTTTGCACCTTGAGGCGGTCAGCAAGATCCAGCTGGCCAGCGGAAAACCCTGCCAAACCAGAATCTTTCAAAAGAGAACGAGTTTTTTGCAGCTCGTTGCGGCTTTCTTCTGTCTCTTTGTCGTCCTTGCAGGCCCTGCGGGGCACTCTGACTATCTCCGGTCGCTGAGACAGCCGAGGGGCAGAGTAGGCCCTGGGCAACCGCTTCACCGACTTCTTGCTGCTCACTCGGGATCTGGACAATGCCTCTGGAACCCCAATTGGGATGTCCTCACGCCGCTCTGGCAATGATGGAAGCGCAATTTCATCCGGAGGATCTGAATAGTGTTTGAATATCCGAAACCAATGATGAACAACTTCCATTGGGTCGCCACACGTGACAATTAAGTCATGCAGCAAATCATCAGTCAGCTTCTGTCTTCTCTTCCGAACCTTTGAGGGCCCTGAGTCTGCAGAATAAGTAGAATTATTCCAAAGTATAGCAGTGGTGCCTGATATTCCTGCTTGCACGAGCTTCTGTTCCGCTTCTTGTATAGTGTGCCTCGCTTTTGGCTTGGTGTATGCCTCGGAAGCCTTTGCCCTTGTCTCTTGCTGATGCCGCACTTCTGAGCGTGAAGCCACGTTCTGCCCATAGCTGAATGGATAAGTATCCAGGCCAACTACAAAGGGAAATGAGTAGACTGCGCCCTTTGGCAGCACTGTCAGTGGCACGCTTTTCCAGCTGTCTTGCTTCGGAGCTCTGCCTGGCGAGTTCCTCAGCCCTGCCATCCCTACGGGATGCAAGTCTCAAGAACTCTCCATTGTTGCATTGCACAATTTGCACAATGCCTTCTTGGCAGGCACCATTGCATTTGAGCCCAAATCTGCAGAGTCAGCCCCCTTGCCCGGTGCGTGCACTGGAGCACATGGCGACACGGAGTTCGACGTGATGAGGCAACACACTGACACACAGGCAGCGCCTCCACATCCACAATGACATCCCTGTCGCCTTGGCAGCCGCATTGGTCTGATGCACTTGACGCACGAAGGTCATCCACTCGCCTCCCACAACGAGAACTGGCTTGCTGCAAACTGGCACCGGCAAGGACCTGCACTGCATCACGGACACAGCACCCTTCTATGAGCACCAAAGCATGCGATATGTTTTTCAGCAGAATATCGGCAAGCGAGACACACAAGAAGGTTTGCTTGGTGGTACTAAGTCATTCCATAATTTGCCATGACAAAAGCTACCAATCCCTGCCGAACGGCGCTAAGAGGAGCTGGCGGCTGTGGCCGACCAGCTGAACTTGGCTTTAAGACTACTATCTCTACAATCTGATCATCCGCAAATGTCAGCCAATGCGAGAATGGCCAATCTCTGCCGTCCCTGTCCCTCTCGGCCAAGGTGGAAGGGACAGGGCGCGCCAAAGCCAGTCAGAGAATTTTGGGTGGAGTCTGCGGCGAAGCAACAAAGCGTCCTTGGCAAGGTCGTTCGCCGCCATCTGGCCTCGAAGCCTAGGCACGTGAGCTCATCCGCCCAGACGTCAAACTCCCTCAGAATGGGACTCTGACAGCCACAACAGCCACAGCGTGATGGCAAAAGACGGCTGGGAAACTTGTTCTCTTTTTTTTTCTGGGCCTGCACGTGATGCCACTCACGTCAGGGACGGTGGACCAAGTAGGACACTGGTAGGGCGGCCATCCTCGAGAGGGCACGCCAAGCTCAGCTTCTTCACGCTGTCCTACATCTTCAGCTTGAAATTGGCTGGCTGGGCATCCATGTTGGCTAGGGGATGGAGGGCCTGGCGCGCCTCCGCCTCCTGATCCCGTAGTTGCCGCAGAGTCCGCTCTGCCGTGGTGATCTGACGAACGGAGAGTCTACGATCTCCATCGGCTCAATGGTGGCGTCAGAGAAAGACATGGCATGAGTCCCGGAAGAACAAATGGAGATGGTTTTCCGCAAACTGGAAGCTCAGTTGAGCAAACATGGCCACCGTGCCATTTTGGGTCATGTTGCTGACGTGTTCAAGACTACCGCTACGCTCTTGGCATGTTCAGCATAAGGAACATCAGAAAACCCGCTCCGCTGCAATCGAAAGTGCTGGAGAATTCGCCTTGGCCGCCAAGGGCGCTCAGAATCTTTACTTGCCCCCTTCGCCCAAAATTTCTCCGGCCCACCCCCAGCCCGCCCAGCCCAGGCCCTCCAGCTAGCAACCCACCCAAGCAAGCCCAGGCCCAAACAGCACCTCGCCCACAGCCCAACCCCCACGCCAACACAGTCGATCAAGACTGCCGTGCGCGTTGATCACCACAGCTCTGCTTTGGTTGTCGAGACTCTCTGCGCAGCTTCCGCCCATGACATCCACTGCCCCAGCACGCAGCGCCACTGACGCTTGGCTCCATGACTCCCTCCTGGTCCCATGCATCGCCTTCCCCTTGCCTCACAGATTCCTGCGCAACTTCGGTCCATGACATCAATTGGTCCGCGCTCGGCTGGGCCGAGGCGGGCAACACGCAACGGTTACAATACAGGACCAAGTGCTCCCGGCAGCCGACGGTGCCTCTTTCAAGCTTTGACTTCTTCCACTGGGCTACTCACGCACATTTGCAAGCATCAACTGCTACAGAGCACAAGCGAGCGCTTGTGTCCATGGGGTGTAGGGCACCACAAAGTGTCTTGTTTGAGGCGTTGAGGGTCTTCCTATTGCTTGACGCGGCCTTGCCTGTTATGATACTGTCATGTACTGTGTGTATCATTTTGGTTAGCTGCTTCCACCAGTCGTATGGAGCGTGCGTTGAGACTGCCCTCACGCAGGCATTCTGCGGCTTGTTGCCCAAACGGTGAGCGCTGTTTTGAGGCCTAGTGCTGTTCGTATTAGTACACATGTCACCTATCATTTTGCTGTATCTCGTCAATGTCTTTGGCAAAGTCGTGAGCGCTTAAAGCCCGTTGACTTTAGGTTCTACCACCAAGCGGAGCTGTCCATTGGCTGTACAATATATATATATATATATATACACATATATATATATATATGTATACACAACATAATTATAATATATATATATATACATAGACTCGATGCGACCAACTAGTAGAACCCTCTAACAAACATGCCAAGATGGGTCTTGGGCGCTGCTTCCGGGTTCATGCTTGATGCGCTAAGGTCCTTCAGTCCAACACGAGCTGCTCAAGAGTCGTTTCAATACACCTGACGCCCGCGGGAAAAGATATGATGGGGATAGCGACCAAAAGCGACAAGAACACAAAGCTGAAAAAGCAAAGTGGTGCGCGCGCGCACAGAGAGGCTAGACCTAAAACAAACAAATCGCAGCGCTGCTGATGAGGGTTGCAAACCGTGAACCGAATGACGTGCCGAGGAGCAAATTGATGCGTGAATGATGCAGTCTGTACGGGAATCTGCTGAAACTAAACAAAAAAAGTTGCGTACAGTTCCCAAACCTTGCAGCCACGCCAAAATACTGGAGGGTTGTCACACATCAATTCCATCATGACGTACTCCTGAAATTGCCGCGCTCCTCGTTTCCCAACCTAGGTTCAGCATGTCTCAGAAATGGCAGTAAGCATATGCCGCAACTGATCAAAGTTTGACACAAAATGCTGTTTTTTTCTAAACACTGATGGGTCCAAGTGAACAAAGCGGGAGGCACGCAAAGCGGCTCGTTGCATTTGTATGGACTCTCACAAACGTTGTCTCTCTCCCCTCAATCCCTCTCTGTATTTTGGGGCGAGGGATCAAAAAAAACTTGTTAGGCATCACAAAAACATTTTCGTGAAGAAAAAAAACTGTTTACGGTTCCAAAAAAACTTATTCTCTTATATTTCTTGCTAAAATGAAAACTCAGAGGATCAAAAAAACTTGTCAGGGATCAACAAACTTCTTCATTTCGTGGCATGCGCAGCACGTTCGCAAGGTCAGGTACAGGCTTTGTGGCATGCGCAGCACTTTCGCAAGGTCAGGTACAGGCTTTGTGGCAGGTGCAGTCAGGTACAGAATTCGTGGCAGGTGCAGCACTTTCGCAAGGTCAGGTACAGATTTTACGGCAGAGCACTTTCGCAAGGTCAGGTACAGATTTCGCGGCAGGCGCATGACTTTCGCAAGGTCAGGTACAGATTCCGTGGCAGGCGCAGCACTTTCGCAAGGTCAGGTGCCGATTTTGTGGCAGCACTTTCGCAAGCGATGAAGAATAAGATGCAGAGAAATAAACATGCAGAAAGAGGGCGAAAAAAGAGAGAGACAGAGAAAGAAAGCAAGAAAGAGAGAGCGAGAGAAAGAAAGAAAGAAAGAAAGAAAGAAAGAAAGAAAGAAAGAAAGAAAGAAAGAAAGAAAGAAAAAAAGAAAAAAAAGAAAGAAAGAAAAAAAGGAAAAAAGAAAGAAAGAAAAAAGAAAGAAAGAACGAACGAACAAACAAACGAGAGAATCAAAGAAAGAAAGAAAGAAAGAAGCATCGAGGATGCGATGATTCAACAAAGAGTCTGTTAATCTCTGCAAACTTTCTAAAAACCAGCGGGGTGCGTTAATCTCTGTAAACATTTTACAAATCAGCGGGGGGTTGGGCGGGGGCGGAAGCCCCCCCCATGATGATCGAAGAAGTGATGATTCAACAAAGGGTCCGCCGATTTCCGAAATAGATGTTGAGAACCTGTCAAAATGTTTCAGATCTCTTTCCTTTACTTCCTTTCTTCTTTCCTTCCTTCCTTCCTTTCTTGCTGGAATTCCTTCCTTGCTTCCCTCCTTCCTTCCTTGCTTGATTCCTTTCTCCTTCCTTCCTCGCTTGATTCCATTCTCCTTCCTTCCTTCCTTCCTTCCTTCCTTCCTTCCTTCCTTCCTTCCCTCCTTCCCTCCTTCCCTCCTTCCCTCCTTCCCTCCTTCCTTCCTTCCTTCCCTCCTTCCTTCCTTCCTTCCTTCCGTCCGTCCTTCCTTCCTTCCTTCCTTCCTGCCTTCCTTCCTTCCTTCCTTCCTTCCTTCCTTCCTTCCTTCCTTCCTTCCTTCCTTCCTTTTGCCATGGGAATGAGAAGAAGTTATTTGTTGATCCCTAATAAGTTGTTTGTTGATCCCTAATAAGTTTTTTGTTGATCCCTAACAAGCTTTTGTTTATGCCTATCCCTCTATTTTGCATAGTTGAACCAACGTGAATGTGACAGCCTCCAAACGATACTGCTTACTAAAATGTGCACACATCTCTGGGGAAAACATGAGGTAGTAGTTTACTCGCGCCAGAAGAAACGAGGACGGCATTGTTCAAACCAAAAACAGCTGTGAAGTGTCGACCTAAACCTTGCTTCTTTCAGACAAAAAAGAAAATCCCACCTCTGCAGCTGCCGCAAATCCAACAAGCGCGTGCCAGCCGGACAACCTGCCGAATTGGGGCAATGAGGGCGACAATGGCAGCGAAGGCAGCTGCCAGGCCTTGAGTCATGAGCCTCATGTACCGTTCTATGTCGGCGACTGATGTCTCTTCGTCGAAGAAAAGCTGACACGCAGCGGACGCGCAAACTGCACTCCAAAGCTCTCCAAGCTCCCTGCCTCTCGACAAAGCGCCACATCTCGCTCAAACGCACGGCTGATGAAGCCCCAAGTGATGCGTAGGGCTTGTAAGGGCGCCCGGAACAAGCTGCGAAGAATGATACCCACATTGCCACTTGGTGGCACACTGCACAGTAGAACTAGACCAGCAAGCTGCAAGTCTGCGGCAGCTTGCAAGGCAATGAGGCCTCCAAAGCTATGCCCAACCAAAACAACGGTTTCGCCCTTGCTTTCTAGGTGGCGCACAAATGCCGCTATGTCTGCAGCATGCTCCTCCAAAGTGCCAGCTACTGGAAGCTGATCTGGCATCCTGCCACGTCCTTGCCCTCGCAATGAAAGTGCGTATGTGTTGAATCCTTTCTCCCGAAAGAAGTCCAGGAAATGCTCTTGATAGCACCACGCTGCATGATAGCTGCCATGAATGCAAACCAGGCTGACTTTGCTTGGGGCGGTTGTTGCTGGCCCGCCCAGGATCTCCAACTCAATACCGTCCGCATGTGGAACAGAGAAAACTTCCGCATCTGCACTGCGCCGAATCTGCGGATTCAAGCGCCTAGATTTCCAGGTGGAAAAAACTGCAAAGGCCGCCACACTTTGGATGCTGCCTGCTGCAAAGTGAGGTTTGGCTCTTATGCACGGCAGATGAAGTCTGCAAGATGCTTGGTTACTGGTAATCTGCCGCGGCAAGCAGCCGGCAGCAGCAATCAACGCCATAGCACACGTAGATGAGAAGCACTTCACTAAATGTACAATAGTTGTGCAATCAGTCTTTAATCAAGACAATTGATGAGGGGAGCTGCCAAACAATAATTAGACTGATCAATCATTTACTAAAGCATCGAACTAGTAGATCTACAAGCTGTTCATCTCAGAACATGAACATTTCTCCAGAATCTAAACACGTCTTCCAAGGCCGGATACTGGCGCTCTGATCTTTTGCGACTTGCAGCCTCATGCACATATCTAAGCCTACCTGTTTCTGCGCCTAAGTCTGCGCAGATGGCATCATCTTCCTGAAGCAATGCAGCCATATTGAAACATCCGTGGGACATGGAGCAGAGTAGCGCTGCAAAGAAAAGCAGCAGCCCAACCTCAAACGCCAGGGAAGAGCGCGTTGCAGACGGAGCAGCGCTGGAGGTTGGTCATCGGTATCGCCAATATGCACAGGCAAACGCCTCACAGCTGAACTGACCAGAAGTTTAGTCTGATTAACTCGACATTTGAAGAATGGTTCCTTCCGCAAGTCAGGCATTGACATGAATAGTGCATGCCTGAAGCCGTCCCGCCACAAGCCTCAGATCAGGATCTCGACGAAGCCATCTCGCTGCACGAATACGTCCGTCACGAGCACTGGGAAGCCGATACGAAGGCCTAGAAGCAAACATGAGCTCGATTTGAGGCGCCCCTTCGGTCAAGGCTGCCGCGTGATCCATTCGCTTTTCCAGCATAGCCTGCAAAGCCAAGCTGCAGCTAAGCTGTTGCCCAACCGAGCCCTGCTGACAAGGCGCAAATCAAAAGCTGCAAAAGCACGCCGCAATTCCATTGGCATCCATTCATCCCAAAGGACCTTGCTCAGGTGGCAATCGCACGTAACTTCTTACTTTGCACATCTTTCCAGCTCCTCTATTTGCAAAGGCTGAGTATGTTGCCTGCTGCACATCTCGCGATCGCTTGCTTAAAAACTTGTTGAATCCCGTAAAGCGCACACGGAAATCCTGGACAGGGTAAGCATGTGAATTCACTCGGAAACTTTCCACTCGTGGAAACTCGACCACTCTCAACTCCTCTCAACTCGCTTCCTCCAGGAGCTGCTTTTGAAGCTCCACTCTTCTGGACGTAGAGTTGTCCAGCTCTTTCCACAGCGTCGGAATTGTACACGGCCTTTTACATTACGACTGGGGCAACCCACAACTAAGTCGTGAAAAAATGACATTCCCGCTACCACCATGGCTGGCATTGCTACACGATATGCATGCTTGTCGTCAGATTCGGCCATAACATGCACAGACGTATACAGGACTGATCAAGAATCGCTTCAGGGTCCCTATTCTGATCCTATTCTGACCCTGAACGCGGAGTCCGGGAGACGGGCAGAGGGGGAGAGGGGGAGAGGGGGAGAGCGAGAGAGAGGGAGAGAGGGAGAGAGGGAGAGAGGGAGAGAGGGAGAGAGGGAGAGAGGGAGAGAGGGAGAGAGGGAGAGAGGGAGAGAGGGAGAGAGGGAGAGAGGGAGAGAGGGAGAGAGGGAGAGAGGGAGAGAGAGAGAGAGAGAGAGAGAGAGAGAGAGAGAGAGGGAGAGAGAGAGAGGGAGAGAGGGAGAGAGGGAGAGAGGGAGAGAGGGAGAGAGGGAGAGAGGGAGAGAGGGAGAGAGGGAGAGAGGCAGAGAGGGAGAGAGGGAGAGAGGAGAGAGGGAGAGAGAGGGAGAGGGGAGAGGGGAGAGAAGGGTGAGAGGGGGAGGAGTGGGAGAGGGAGAGGGGAGAGGGAGAGAAGAGAGGGGGAGAGAGGGAGAGGGGAGAGAGGAAGAGGGGGAGGCCAGGAGGAGAAGACAAAGAGGGAGGCAAGGAGGTAGAGACACGGAAAGAGACGCCAAGAGAAACAAACAGGCATAGAGACACGGAGAAACAGGAAGGCAAAAAAATCCGGCGAGCGAGAGAGGGAGAGAGAGAGAAGGAGAGACAACAGAGACGGAGACGCAGACAGACAGACAGACAGACAGACAGACAGGACAGACAGACAGACAGACAGACAGACAGACAGACAGACAGACAGACAGTGACAGACAGTGACAGACAGTGACAGACAGTGACAGACAGTGACAGACAGTGACAGACAGTGACAGACAGTGACAGACAGTGACAGACAGTGACAGACAGTGACAGACAGTGACAGACAGCGACAGACAGTGACAGACAGTGACAGACAGTGACAGACAGTGACAGACAGTGACAGACAGTGACAGACAGACAGTGACAGACAGACAGTGACAGACAGTGACAGACAGTGACAGACAGTGACAGACAGTGACAGACAGTGACAGACAGTGACAGACAGTGACAGACAGTGACAGACAGTGACAGACAGTGACAGACAGTGACAGACAGTGACAGACAGCCAGACAGCCAGACAGCCAGACAGCCAGACAGCCAGCCAGACAGGACAGCCAGACTGCCACAAAGCTACACAGCCAGACAGCCAGAGGCAGAGACAGAGACAGACACAAAGAGGCAGAGACAGAGACAGAGGCAGAGGCAGAGGCAGAGGCAGAGGCCGAGACAGAGGCAGAGACAGAGACAAGAGACAGAGACAAGAGACAGAGACAGAGACAAGAGACAGAGACAGAGACAGAGACTGACACAGAGACAGAGACCGACACAGAGACCGAGACCGACGCAGAGATCGAAGACGGGGACGGCGATCTTGCCCGTCTGTTTGGCGTCACGTCACCCACGCCGCCCTTGACTGCAGTCGTCTGCACCACGCTCTTGCCAATGGTCATGCCCATATCGCCCTGATGAGCGTCTTGCTCCTCCACGCGTTGATCTGTGCCCCTTGGGGCCCAGGTTCTTGCCATAGGCCTTCTCCAAGTTCGTGCTGCCGTGCCCAGCAGCGACCTCCAGCTCCTTTATGGCGAACTCGCCGTCGCGACCGACGGCGACCTCCAGCTCCTGTGCCGAGCTTGGCGGCCACGCGACCTGAACCTTCAGCTCCCCGCTACCAATGTTGGAATACCACGAGTCACCCCGCGTGAGGAAGCATGCGGGCCGGTTTTCCTCTCTGAGTTAGACTGCACTCTTGGGCCTGAAAACCCCGGCCATCGGGCAGCAAAATGCCCACTGTGCCCTGTTGCACACTTACAGGGGAGAAAGGGGAGAAAGGGGAGAGACATAAAAGGGAGAGGAGTGAGAAAGACAGAGACAAAAGTGGGGGCGACACAGAGAGGGAGACAAAGGACGAGACACGGAACGGGGGAGACGGGACACAGAGGGGGGTAGACACCGAAAGGGACGACACAGCAAGGGTGGGAGGAATACAGAAAGGGAGAGACACACAAGGTGCAAATGAGAGAAATGATGCTGACTGGTTCTATTCGACTGGATCTAATGGCGTATCTTGAGTTACCGTATTGTCAACGCAATGCTTCATCCGAGAAACAAGCATGTGGTTCTCATAGAAATTATTCTGCACCGGTGCTCTGGAAAACTGGCGCGCAATGTCAAGAAATCGAAGGCGCATCCCAGGCCTTCCATCAACGCTCGGAAATCCAAGGAAAAACTTGCGGTAGGCAGTGTTGATCTCTTTCCTGATGGGCAAATGCAATTGGTGCTCGCCCTGCAAGATCTATCCAGGCCTGACTGGGAATGTCGTTTCCTTCTGCTCTTTGATAATTTTGCTGATCGCCTTTTCAAGCCCTTTGATCCTCAAAAGCAAAGCAGCAGAAAACACATTCTTTTATGTAATATCCGACTGAAGTTGGACTGAATGGTCCTGGGGTATTGCTGTCTGACTTTCTTGGCACCACCTCAAGTGTGCGCAACATGTGTAGGTATTGCAGGCACTACTTGCCGGCCTTGTTGCGAAGAGTACAGCGTCAACTTCGAGCTGAGAAGACCTCCCTGCAAAAGCCGCATGCAGCAGTTGCGCTCTGGTGAGCGCTGGCTAGACCATCCCAACGGGCTCAGCTAGAATCTAGAAAAAATCTGCCAGGGAGCTGTCACAGCGAGGCTCTGCGGCCTGAGCATGAAAGGCCAAATGCAAACCCCCCCACCCCCCCTCGGTGTGGTAAAAGTGCCACCATGCGCCTGTCAAAGTTCTCGTGCTTGTCAATGGCGCCGGCAATCTTGTACGCATCATGTTCCTAGATTGTAGGCATCAAAAGCCATGTCGCAATCAGTTCATGTCGGGCCCACTGTTTGTCCTTCAAGTCAGGCACAGCTACTCGTAGTTGGCTCTCAATTTCCCTCCTGTCATTCAGTTGCTTGTAGTCATACCCCCCACACACACACACGCACAGACACCAAATGGGCTTTGGGCGGGGAACATCCTAAATTGCTCTCATGATGAGACCGCAACAGCAATGCTTCTCCAATGAGTCGCGGCCCTGCAAGCATGGCTTGGCCTTCGTGTGTAGCTCTCTTTGATGCTTATATCCCTGATGTGCCCTGGGCTGAAGAAGGCTGAAGCCGGTCAAGCAATTGTCTGCCCCGAAGCGCACCTCCCCATCTTTGGAGCAGCTCATAAGCGTTGTATATGAGCAGCAGCGGCCCCAGCACCACCAGAACTGCAACGATTCATAGCACAAGTGTTGCAAGTGTGTGCGTCTGCCATGCAATGCAGCATCACTGGCTCCCTTCGGCGAATGCTTTGGCTGCGGAAGATGAAGCAACATTCGCAGCACCATAATTCACAACCTCTGCCATTTAGACCGCAAGCAGTAAACTTTTAAACCACAGGCTCAGATTCGCCTCCTTTGCACAACCGACAGCAGCTGCCATGAGAGTTTTTTCTGCGGCCTGGCAGGTGCTAGTCCGGGCTCACATCTCTATGCACATTGCTGCGTCAGGCTCAAAGGTGCCTGAGGCGCCTGTATTCTTTGCTGTGCCTCAGTCAGGAAACAGGCAACACTTAAGTAGCAACGACTGAAATCCTTGTTGCTGCTCGGCGGCTCCATTGACTTCCGCCTGCCGCTTGCAACAAAAACTGAGAACGCTCGCATCAGCCACGCCATTCTCCGGTGGTGGTGATAGCTGGTAGATGTCCCCGTCAGCCGCCTTGAAGGCAAGACAAGGCGGACAGCGTACTCAAACAAAGGAAGCTTGCCTGCAGATTCAGCAAGGCTGCAGCTGCTGGATTTGCGGACGCCATGGCTGGCAGAATCTGCTGACTGTAATCAAACAAGAACCTGAGTTAAGCTACTCAGTGCGCAGTCGGAGCCTGCAAAGGTTACAAATGAAGCTGACAGTGTCTTGCTCAATGCCTCATCACTATCACTGATCACGATACAGTAGCCGAGTGTTTGGCATCAGCACCCGGAAAAGCTTGAGTGAGCGGAAAACTAAAGTTCATGACGCACAGGCGGGTGCCTGTCTTCTGTGACGGCAAGGGGGAAACAGCGAAGCGGGCATGCCAAAGCGCAACATTAAAGCGTCTCAAACTGCGGGTGGCAGCGGTCGAGGTACATTAACTTCAGACATAGCTTCGGAATATGATGTCCCCAGCAAGTTTGAGTACTTACTTTAACTTTAGCCCACAAAGGCGGCCATGCTATCTCCATAGCCTGTACTGTGACATTTGGCATGGACTTACAGCCAGCTGTGTCATTTAAAAACAGCACTGCTGTCCACAAGCATGTGTCTCATGTGTCTTATTTGTCTGGCCACGCATTGTTCTCACTGCTGCAATCTAGATCTCCAACTCCCACACCTCGATTTGTAGCGAGATGCCCCTGCAGCATCGCGCGAACTTTTGACTAGCCCACTCCAGACAGCCGAAAACTCTGTGCGAAGGCTGGAGGACGACGGCTTTCTGAAGCGCACAGTTTTGCACACAAGGTACGCCACCTACAGCTGGTCATAGTTACTCCTCAATGTTTGCCTATTCCTCCTCCTGCTCCTTCCTTTGCTTCTGCTCAGTTGTCCACCGGAACAGCTCTCCAAGACTTCCCTCTTGTAAGTCTGCACCGCGGCTGGGTTTAAGCGTCCAGGTGCAAAATGATTCACGGAAAGCCAAGAGAAGCAATCATAGGTGATGTAGCAACATTAAAGTGCCTAAATCCAGAAACCATCGAGGCAGCCTGAGATGTGGGTTTGCTGCAAGCCTCTTTGGTCAGCAAAAACGTATGCCAGGTTAGTTGGGCAAATCTGGAACACTGCCTTGACAGAGGACACCGGCCCAATCTGAGAACAGCAATACATCCAAGTCAGGCGTACCATGACTCCTCTGATAGCAATGACGAAGCGTGCGTGCGTGGGTGCGTCGGTACGTGATTGCGTGCGTGCGTGGGTGCGTGGGTGGGCGATTGTGGGTCATGCCATGCACTTCAGACAGGCACAAATCGGAACTGTCTCCGCTCACTGCACCGAACACCATCTTTTAAACATACCGGTCAGGCCTTAGCTTTTTGAACCGATGAATGACCTTCGCTCAGCAGCGCAAGCTGGTGCCTAGAGCAGCAATCTGAGCTGTACCGGAGCTGAACCTGCCAAGCCAAGCTGCTCGGCTCAGGGGTCAATGTGCCATGAAATCTCCAGGCCAGCCCTCAGGGTCAGGGGGGAGCTGGGGGAGCTGGGGGAGCTCACAGACAGAATTGCTTTTCTATCGGGTCCGGCCTTGGGCCGAAAGTGCACAAAAACATTGGCAAACTCCCTGCTATGCAAGACAGAAGGTCGCCCGTGAGGGCACGTAGCAGATTCGTAGAAAATAGCCTGGCCGGCTCTGTTGGGAACCAGCTTCTCTTCGCCCTTGTGATTCAGTATTCTTAGTGGCCAGGATGGCTCTTGCTGTTCAAATTCTGAGTCCGGATGTCCAAAGCCCAAGTGGCCAATCTCCAGAATGGCCGACACCGCATGTGTATGGGGCTTGTCCACATGCAAGTTCAGCACCGAGCCATTGCGGTACATGCGCACGCCATACATTGCAGTAGGCTCCAAATCGTCGCCAGACATGCCAATCCAGCCAGCGAGATGTGGCTGCACGGCATTGAAAACGCGAAGCTTCATCTCATCTGGAAGAGGAAGCAGCCAGGAATTGGATTCACAGCTGGATAAAGCTAAATCAAGCTTGGCGTTGTTTTCTGGAACCGAGCCCCGCAAGCGATTGCCGAGCCAAAAATTTCTCACTTCACCAAGCAGGTCCGTTCCTAGAACTTGTTCAAGATCTCTGGCCTCATATCCAGATTGTGTAAAGTTCACAAACTGTGGTGGCTGCGACAATATGATTTCACGCCCTTCGTCTATGTGTTGCTGCTGTTCACGTTGGAACTCCTCTGGAGTAAAGTCGAACTTGCATTGTGATCGATGCCACCTTGTAGGATCGTGATTGCAAAAATGAGCTGCGTCGCCTGGATGGTCCTTCAGGCTGTCGAAGCAATCTCCAAGAACCTCTGCAACGATGCCATCCCATCGAGGCCCAGTGTACCGGGTTTCAGCCTCTGAAACACAACTCGGCGCGCGTACACTTGCCATGTGCAAGCAACGCGACGTGCAGCCAAGCAGCTGCAGCAGGTTGCCACTGAGGCAAACACCTGAATCCAGCCTGAATATTGAGTGGGACACCAGTGCGACACTAGTGGGGCAGTGAAATAGCAGTGGGACACTGGTTTGCATGTGCATGCAGTGTATGGACATCCCACGGCGCTCTGCCTCTTCATAACACTGAATTTCGCCACCACTTGCCATCTTGAGTATCGACGGCTCGTGTGTTGCCTGGCAGGCAAAAGCTTTCGTGCGGACGAGATCTAGTCACCAATAGATTCAATAGAATGTCGAAGAACATCTTCAAGGTTTGCTTCGAGAAAAACAAAATGCCCCCCCCCCAAACCAAGAAGGGCTCTGAGAAGCCGTCCCAAGAATCCTCTTGAAGCATTCCCACCTCTGCTGGGTGGATTTGGAAGGCATGACCAGAAAACGTCGAGTGGAGGCTAGTGGAATTCGGCCTGAGCTGTCCAGTCTGCCCATTCAAAAGCGGCGGTGTGTCTTCGAGATCTCTCACTTCTTGCTCAAGCAGAAGAAAAGCAGGCGAACACAATTCAGCCAGCTGAAGCCTTGCACGCCTTACACTGAGTCGCTGGCCTTATCACATCTTTGAGTTCTGCCACACCTTCGTGATTTATCCAGTACCTCAGTCGGGACGCTCCATGCTGATAAGAGTTGCAAGCGAAGAGCCCATTTGTTGGGGTGGCAAGCAAATCAGAAGTCTAACATGCAGGCTCGTAACACGTGCAAATCTTGCGATGCTTTGTTGACAAATGTCACCTTCACCGCTTCTTCGCTTAACACCTATCAAGCAAGCGGGTCACTGTCTCCAAGTCGGCAAGCAGCTCTCGAACCAAGCATCATTCTGAGCTTGCGACTTCAGAGGCACAAAGCCAAAAAAGAAGAGCCGCGTTCATGGGCCACAGGACTCTTGGCACCCTAAACCGCAGGTCAGGAATCCAAAAAAATGTGGAACCAAAAAAAGCTAAGGCAATGTCCCTGTGCGGAATTTGCATTTTTGCTCAGAGCCAGCACGGTTCTCAGTTTGGCAAATGAGCAAGTACGCAGGAAACGGTTGCACACATCCCAAGCACAAGACAGGCGAACCGAAGATCGATTTTCCCCATATTGCACAGAAGCAATAATTTGAAACCTGTGAGACATGTTCTTATGACACCACAGTCGGACAAGGCAGCTCACCCCCATCTGTACATGAAGGACTCGCTGTCCAGAGATGCAGGGAGCACCCATCACATCGTGAGCGGCAGTGACACATGTTCCGCAGCCGAGTGACTCAGCAACGTGAAGCTCGAGTCCTGCCAACTTCGACGCATCGAGCGCTGTGACTGCACCTGCTGAACAATGCTTCAATACAAAATGTGATTGTCCTGCAGTGCAATGCACGGTGAACAATTGCATATGACATATCAAAGCCCAATTGAAAAGTAGACGAGCAAAGCAGAAGTCCTCATTCTTGCGTACTGCAAGGTCCATATTGAGTATCTTGTGGGCATCGCGTGGCTGGCAGTCTGGATCTGTAGGATCATGCCGACCATCATTTTTGCATGGACTTTGCACAACTTTCAGCGAGAGATGGTACCTTATGTCCAAACGTGTTCCAACAGCACATGGCCCCGCCTACAAGACGCATCACACGTTATGAAGGCGTCAAGAGACACTTCACCTGCCGCAGTATCCGTGCGTTCTGCTCCCAGGACTTGAACTGGAACTAGCATGAACAGGTTGTTCCTGAGAGACAGTCTCACTCCAATGGGCGAAACATCAAGCTAACCACAGGCAAGTTTCGATCTCGCATTCAGTAGTCTCAAAGCGTGGCTGACAATGCTTTCCATTTGGCTACTCTCCAGGTCTATACCACCCGGCTTTGTGACGCACTCCCCGGCTGCCCGCACGCCCAAGAGAGGAAGGGCTTCCAATTGCTTGCACATAAGTCCAGCAGCACAAGAGCCATACGCTTGGCAGGTCCCACCGCATCTGGAGCCTGCTGGCAGCCCGACTGGAGCCGCCTTCAGCATCTCTGGAGGGCATACGAAGGCCCACGAGGGAATCAGCGACAAAAGCAAAAGAATGCGCATGGCAGCCAATCAATGTCCTGACCTGCTTTGATCTCAATAAGGCTTTAAACCACCTGCGGCGTGATAGACAATGGGCGTGTGTGGTTGTGTGTGTTTGTGTGTTTGTGTGTGTTTGTGTGTGTGTGTGTTTGTGTGCGTGTTTGTGTGTGTGTTTGTGTGTGTTTGTGTGTTTGTGTGTGTGTGTTTGTGTGTTTGTGCGTTTGTGTGTTTGTGTGTTTGTGTGTTTGTGTGTTTGTGCTTGTGTATCTGTACGCTTGTGTGCTTGTCTGCTTGTGTGTTTGTCTGTTTGTGTTTGTGTGTGTGTTTGTGCGGTTGCGTGTTTGTGTTTGTGTGTTGGTTGTTTGTGTGTGTGTGTGTTGTGTGTGTTGTGTTCGTGTGTGTTTGTGGGTGATTCATTGTGTCTGCTTGCGTGTGTGTGTGTGTGTCTGGGTGTGTGTGTGTGTGTTTTTTTTGTGTGAGTGTGTGTTCCTGTGCGCGTGTGTGTTTGCATGTGTTTGTCTGTGTTTGTGTGCTGCGTGTGTGTGTCAGTGTGGCTTTGCATGCTTGTGTGTGATGTGAGTGTCTTCATGTGTGCGAGTAAGATGTTGTGTGTCGTGTGTGTCGTGTGCGTCGTGTGCGTGTGTCAAGTGTGTCGAGTGTGTCGAGTGTGTCGTGTGTGTCGTGCGTGTCGTGTGTCGTATGTGTCGTGCGTGTGTGTGTGTGTCGTGTGTGTCGCGTGTGTCGCGTGTGCGTCGTGTGTGTCGTGTGCGTCGTGTGTGTGTGTGTGTCGTGTGTGTGTCGTGTGTGTGGTGTGCGTCGTGTGTGTCGTGTGCGTCGTGCGTGTGTCGTGTGTGCTGTGTGTGTGTGCGTGTCGTGTGTGTGTGTTGCGTGTGTGTGTGTGTCATGTGTGTTGTGTGTTGTGTGTTGTGTGTTGTGTGTTGTGTGTTGTGTGTTGTGTGTTTGTGTGTTTGTGTGCTTGTGTGTGTCTGTGTGTGTGTGTGGTTGTGTGTGTGTGTGTGTGTGTGTGTGTGTGTGTGTGTGTGTGTGTGTGTGTGTGTGTGTGTGTGTGTGTGTGTGTGTGTGTGTGTGTGTGTGTGTGTGTGTGTGTGTGTGTGTGTGTGTGTGTGTGTGTGTGTGTGTGTGTGTGTGTGTGTGTGTGTGTGTGTGTGTGTGTGTGTGTGTGTGTGTGTGTGTGTGTGTGTGTGTGTGTGTGTGTGTGTGTGTGTGTGTGTGTGTGTGTGTGTGTGTGTGTGTGTGTGTGTGTGTGTGTGTGTGTGTGTGTGTGTGTGTGTGTGTGTGTGTGTGTGTGTGTGTGTGTGTGTGTGTGTGTGTGTGTGTGTGTGTGTGTGTGTGTGTGTGTGTGTGTGTGTGTGTGTGTGTGTGTGTGTGTGTGTGTGTGTGTGTGTGTGTGTGTGTGTGTGTGTGTGTGTGTGTGTGTGTGTGTGTGTGTGTGTGTGTGTGTGTGTGTGTGTTTGTGTCGTGTGTGTGTGTCATGTGTGTGTTCTGTGTGTGTGTGTTTGTTATGTGTGTTGTGTGTGTGTTGTGTGTTGTGTGTTGTGTGTGTGTGTGTTTGTGTTGTGTGCTGTGTGTTGTGTTGTGTGTTGTGTGTTGTGTGTTGTGTGTTGTGTGTTGCGTGTTGTGTGTTGTGTGTTGTGTGTGTGTCGTGTGTGTGTCGCGAGTGTCGTGTGTGTCGTGTGTGTGTGTGTGTCGTGTGTGTGTGTGTGTCGCGGGTGTCGTGTGCGTCGTGTGTGTCGTGTGTGTGTGTGTTGTGTGCGTGTGTGTCTGTCGTGTGTGTTGTGTGTGGTGTTGTGTGTGTGTCGTGTGTGTGTGTGTGTCGTGTGTCTGCTGTGTGTGTGTGGCGTGTGTGTGTGGTGTGTGTGTGGTGTGTGTGTGTGTGGTGTGTGTGTGTTGTTTGGTGTGTGTTGTGTGTTGTGTGTTGTGTTGCGTGTCGTGTGTTGTGTGTTGTGTGTGCTGTGTGTTGTGTGTTGTGTGTTTGTATATTTTGTGTTGTGTGTTGTGTGTTGTTTCCGCCACCGCCGCCGCCGCTGTCGCTGATGTTGTTGTTGCTGTTGTTGTTGTTGTTGCTGTTGTTGTTGTTGGTTGCCTCTGCTGTTGTTGTTGTGGTTGTTGTGGTTGTTAAGATGGTTGTGGTTGTTAATTGTTGCTGTGGTGACTGTGGCTGTGGCTGTGGCTGTGGCTGTGGCTGTGGTTGCGGTTGTGGTTGTGGTTGTTGTTGTTGCTGTTGCTGTTGCTGTTGTTGCTGTTGCTGTTGCTGTTGCTGTTGCTGTTGCTGTTCTGATTGCTGTGGCTGTTGCTGTTGCTGTTGCTGCTGCTGTTGCTGTTGCTGTTGCTGCGCCTGTGGTGGTGGTGGTGATACTGGTGGCGGGCGTGCGGGCGTGCGGGCGTGCGTGCGGGGTGGGTGTGGGTGGGTGGGTGGGTGGGTGGGTGGGCGCGCACGTGCGAGCGGGCGGGCGGGCGGGCGTGCAGGCGTGCGTGTGTGCGGGGCGGGTGTGGGTGTGGGTGTGGGTGTGGGTGGTGGTGTGTGTGGTGTGTGTGGTGTGTGTGGTGTGTGTGGTGTGTGTGTGTGGTGTGTGTGTGGTGTGTGTGTGGTGTGTGTGGTGTGTGTGGTGTGATTGGTGTGTGTGGTGTGTGTGTGGTGTGTGTGGTGTGTGTGGTGTGTGTGTGTGTGGTGTGTGTGGTGTGTGTGGTGCGTGTGGTGTGTGTGGTGTGTGTGTGGTGTGTGGGTGTGTGTGGTGTGTGTGTGGTGTGTGTGGTGTGTGTGTGGGGTTTGTGGGGTGTGTGGTGTGTGTGGTGTGTGGTGTGTGTGGTGTGTGTGGTGTCATTGGTGTGTGTGGTGTGTGTGGTGTGTGTGGTGTGTGTGTGGTGTGTGTGGTGCGATTGGTGTGTGTGGTGTGTGTGGTGTGTGTGGTGTGTGTGGTGTGTGTGTGTGTGGTGTGTGTGGTGTGTGTGGTGTGTGCGCTGTGTGTGGTGTGTGTGCTGTGTGTGGTGTGTGTGGTGTGTGTGGTGTGTGTGCTGTGTGTGCTGTGTGTGCTGTGTGCGCTGTGTGTGGTGTGTGTGGTGTGTGTGGTGTGTGGTGTGGTGTGGGGTGTGGTGTGGTGTGTGGTGTGGCGCGGTGTGTGTGTGTGTGCGGTGTGTGTGTGTGTGTGGTGTGTGTGTGGTGTGTGTGTGTGGTGTGTGTGTGTGGTGTGGTGTGTGTGTGTGTGTCTGGCGGGTGTGTGGTGTGTGTGTGGTGTGGTGTGTGTGTGTGGTGTGGTGTGTGGTGTGTGTGGTGTGTGCGGTGTGTGTGTGTGGTGTGTGTGTGGTGTGTGTGTGTGTGTGTGTGTGGTGTGTGTGGTGGTGTGTGTGTGGTGTGTGTGGTGTGCGTGGTGTGTGTGTGTGGTGTGTGTGGTGTGGTGCGCGTGGTGTGTGTGTGGTGTGTGTGTGTGTGGTGTGTGTGTGTGGTGTGTGTGGTGTGCGTGGTGGTGTGTGTGTGTGTGTGTGGTGTGTGTGGTGTGTGTGGTGTGTGTGTGTGGTGTGTGTGGTGTTTGTGGTGTGTGTGGTGTGTGTGTGTGTGTGGTGTGTGTGTGTGGTGTGGTGTGTGTGGGTGTGGTGTGTGTGGGTGTGGTGTGTGTGTTGTGCGTGGTGTGTGTGTGGTGTGTGTGGTGTGTGTGTGGTGTGTGTGGTGTGTGTGGTGTGTGTGTGTGGTGTGTGTGGTGTTTGTGGTGTGTGTGGTGTGTGTGTGTGGTGTGTGTGGTGTGTGTGTGTGTGGTGTGGTGTGTGTGGGTGTGGTGTGTGTGGGTGTGGTGTGTGTGTGTGGTGTGTGTGTGTGGTGTGTGTGGTGTGTGTGTGTGTGGTGTGTGTGGTGTGTGTGTGTGTGCGGAGTGGCAGAATACCCTGTCACCACAATTGAGTGCAGGGGCGCGCAGCACCTTTGGCATACTGCACGCAATGAAGCTATTGCCAAAGGTGGGAAGGGTGTCCAGACGTGGACACCTGTACCTGCATCAGTGATTCTGAAAGTCTACTTGGCCCCCCTTGGTTGCGGCGCTGTTTGTGCTTCTTGTTCTTTCTGGTAACGTTTTCGCCTTTAGAGGGAAGCCGAGTGCTTTGCGAGCCGAAACTTATCCTACTCGAGACTTATCAGTTGTACTCGAGACTCATCAGTTGTACTCGAAGGATTAGCATCCTCCCTGGGGAGTTGAAGTGTGATCACCCCATCTAGGGGGAACCTCGAATGTACCCATCGTGTGACCCCGGGCCGGTTCGCCGGAAAATTTGACCTCAACGTTCTTATCACGTTCTTATACAGATCAGCGGAATTTCACGTTTAAGCAGGAACGAGGCTTCACTACAGGGAAGACAGCCGTCAGATCATAGCTAAGTCTCACAACCCATGATGTTGACTGCTGACCGTGTCAAGCATGACCGTGTGTTGTTTTGTGCTTGGCTTGAACTTGCGTTGACTTGCATCTTGTCGGATTCGATTTTCTCACGGTTGAGTTGGCACAGCTCTTGAGTTTGCTGAACCGTCAATCGTGACAGATCTAGAACTCGACGCAGACGAGATAGGAGCCCCTCTTCTCCTCCTCGTAAAGCTCGCAGACGTGATCATGACACCACCTTGGTCTCGGACGGCATGGATTGGACCAACCCCATGACTTGGCAGCACAACCCGAACTACAACCCTCCCAATTCCTTTCCAATGTCACAAAACAACTACCTGCAAAATCCTTCGTCATCACAGCTCTACCAGCACCCTCCGGTCATGCCGTTCCCTCCAAACCTGCGCCGGCTAAGACCGTGAAGACGATGATGGCGCCTCCTGGCAACGCACAAGGACATCCTCCGGAACCTGCGGCAGCACCTGGCTATCCGGCTACGTTGCCAGCGCAACCTCAGAAAACATGGCTTACTGCACCGGAGGAGTGGCAACCTGGCGAAGGCTTGTTGGACAAGAACCACCTCTACTCCTTCACCCTGCCCATGACTGTCGCCAACACCCCGCATAATACGCAACGCGATACGTCGGGCATGCGGGATGTTCGCCTGGTTCAGGTCATTCACGGTGGCATTTCC